CCCCCGCGCCGCCTCAAAACGACGCCGTCACGCTCACTCGCAGTTCCGAACCTCACGCGAGTTCCGCCAACAATGGCCAAAACCCTAACGAGCCGGAGAACGGCAAGAGATCTCCGTTTTTCCCGTTCTACAGTCCGAGTCCGGGGCGCTACGTGTTCCCGCTCTCGCCGCGGCGGTTTTTCAAGCGGCCGTTTCCGCCGCCGTCGCCGGCGAAGCACATAAGGGCGGCGCTGGCTCGGCGGCACGGTTCAGTGAAGCCCAACGAGGCTCCCATACCGGAGGCAGAGGCGGTCTCCGGGCTCGACAAGAACTTCGGATTCTCCAAGCATTTTGGAAGTAAGTATGATGTCGGAGACGAGGTTGGGAGAGGGCATTTTGGGTACACTTGTGTTGCCAAGGTGAAGAAAGGAGAGATGAAAGGCCAACAAGTGGCCGTTAAAGTCATTCCAAAAGCCAAGGTTTAAATTGAAACCAACTTTCACTTGCAATGCATAATTAGTTTTTGTTATGCCTAATGATGATTTTCGCTGTTAGTTTTTTTTAAAATTGTTGTTGAATTGTCGCTCACGATAAAGGTTTTAAAATGTGGTTTTGTGATATTACGGAAAATTGCAGACAAATACAGCCACAATTTTCTCGATGTTTGAACTGTGAGTGAGTGGCAGGGTGGGTGATTTCATTTGGTTTGTTAGTTATTGATTGGACGCATTGTGCTTTCCAATTGTGCTGCTGGTCATGATTTCTCCTTTGCCATAGTTGGGGAAATTCTGTCTGGAAACTTGGAAGGTGATGTATTGGTTTAAAAATGACCAGATGAAATTATTCAATTGATAGTGTTGGGATGTAAGGGAAGAATTCCTCTTGAATGGATTCCATAGCTTATACTAGTATGGATCTGTTGTTTTGTTTCAATTGTAGTTGGGTAAAGTTCTTGATATTCTTGTCTTATTATTAGTATCTTCCTTTAAGCTGCTTTGTTACACACACAGTTCCTTTTATTGGATCTTTAATGGGAATGGATCTATGCATTAAACAAGTGGGTCCCTATTAAAACTTGTGAAAATTTATGAAGAGAGAAGTAGACTAAAATTCATTACGAAAATCTTACACATGATATGAGGATCCATTTCCAATCTTTCACAGAATTCGCGATTTATTGCTGTCTATACCTTTTACTGGTAATTTATTGATTTAAATGCATCCAGCCTGTTTGAATTATATGATAAATTATTTTTGGTGAGAATAAAGCAAAGACACATGATTCATGCATAACATATGTATTTACTCATTAAATGTAGTGTACATAATGTTTTATATTAATTTGTGCAATAATTGTAGATGACTACTGCAATTGCTATTGAGGATGTGAGAAGGGAAGTAAAAATATTGAGAGCTTTGACTGGACACAAGAATCTAGTACAATTCTATGATGCGTATGAAGACCATGATAATGTCTATATAGTAATGGAGTAAGCTTTAATTACGTTGCTTTTTAAGCTCATATTTTGTGGCAATTTGATTTATAATATCAAGATAAGTTATCCTTTTTTTATATATATTTTTTTAATTAACCAAGGACAAGTGTTATGAGTTTCATAAATAACAGTTTTTCTTAAACTCATGCATCTTCTAGGTTGTGTGAAGGAGGAGAGCTGTTGGACAGAATATTATCAAGGTATTTATTTATTTTTAAAATATACATTGTCTGAATGTTTAAAATTTGGATGCCACTGATGGAAATTGGGGATAAATGGAAATAATTGAAAGAGGCAAAATTGTGTTTGATGACTGTAAGATATTTCTTTGCTTTTTCAGAGGTGGGAAGTACACAGAGGAAGATGCAAAAGCTGTCCTGAGACAAATACTGAACGTTGTTTCTTTTTGCCATCTGCAGGGTGTTGTGCATCGTGATCTTAAACCTGAGGTGAAATATATTTGCATTATTTTGAGATTTCTTCTTGCCTCCCTCCACCCCCTTTTCTGTTTCATAATATTGAACTCAGCTGGTTAGCTCAAGTACTCAGAGTGAGATGTACGTAGTATTTTTGCATTAAAGAAAGATCTTTTCCTTTTATGTTTGAAATTTTGTTTATCTTTTGGGGGAAACGGGAGAAAAAAGATGACAGGAGTTCTGGAAAAGATTTTGTTGTCTATAAATGTAGTATCGCACTCTTTTATGATGTATTTAGCAATAGTATGTATCATTAAGATTTCAACCAATGCAAAAGGAGGAAACGTGGTTTTTGATGTGCCATTCCCAGCTTTTCAGAGGAACTTTTGAGTAGGAACATCCTCTTCCTTTTACTCAACATAAGTTTGTGTTCAACTGTTCATAATCTAATACAAACATGCTATAAGATGGCTGTGAATTTGTTTCGTTTGGCTTATAAGGCCTGTCTTCTAATTCTTATTAAGCACAACTTTTGAAGATGGCTAATTTTTGGATCAGAACTTCTTGTTCACATCCAAGGACGAAAACTCAAAGCTAAAGGCCATCGACTTTGGGTTGTCAGATTTTGTTAAACCAGGTATATTTTTTTATTCCATTTACATAACTTGTGTGCTATTTATTATCTTGGAGTTGCTTTATTTTTTTGACTTTTCATTGTCCTTTACAGATGAAAGACTTAATGATATTGTTGGCAGTGCATACTATGTGGCTCCTGAAGTTCTACATAGAGCTTACAGTACAGAGGCTGATGTCTGGAGTATTGGAGTGATTGCATATATTTTATTATGTGGCAGTCGTCCGTTCTGGGCCCGGACTGAGTCTGGTATCTTTCGTGCTGTATTGAAAGCTGATCCATGTTTTGATGAACCTCCTTGGCCTTCTCTATCAGATGAGGCAAGGAATTTTGTTGAGCGATTACTAAATAAAGATCCACGGAAAAGAATGTCTGCAGCACAGGCATTAAGTGAGTTTTCTCAGCAATGATTGCTGGCTCCTGTGCTTTTATTTCTATTGGTACTTACAATTGAGCACTGCAGGTCATCCATGGATTAAAAGCAAGGATGTAAAAGTACCTCTGGATATTCTAACATTCAAGCTCTTGAAGGCATACATGCGTTCCTCATCTCTACGAAAAGCAGCTTTAAGGGTATGTGTTTTTATGTAAATTTTTGTCTGCTTTTAAAAACCTGATACTCGTTGGAAAGGAGTTTTTTGTTGAACTGTGTTCTATTATCCTTTGATATCATCTCTATCGATTTTCACTACAAAAACTATGCTCTCCAATGGTCTCATATTCACCTAGTAATTGGTATACTTATCTAAGAATTTATTTTTAATATGTTTCCAGCTAAGCAAGTTGATTGTTGCCCAAATCATCTCAGTAGCAACCCTGTTGATTATTTCATAGTGTTTCTAACTATGCAGATTGCAGACTCAGGTTTTTTTCATAGATGAAATGTGTTTTGGAACATTGATATTGATGACATGGCAAACAGGTCTACATGTACATTGTTTCCTTTTCAAAATGTTTGGTTGGTGGGACTGGAGTCTAGAGCATTGGTTCTTTCTGTTATTTTGATTGTTCCTGCTGCCTTTTTTTGTTGTTGATCACACTATATGTGTTTCTCAATAACTTGTTGGAATGTTTTTTCACGGGCATTGAGACAGGCTATGTCTAAGACATTAACCGTTGATGATCTAATTTATTTGAGGGAGCAGTTTTCACTTTTAGAGCCAAGCAAAAATGGCACCATTAGCTTGGAAAATATCAAAGCGGTTGGTTTTGTTTCAATTTCTTTTTATTTAAGATATTAAGAGGAAGGTTTTTGTCATCTCACATATTTGAACTGGCTAGGTCTTGATGGTAAATGCAACAGATGCTATGAAGGAGTCACGCATACCTGACTTTCTGGCATCAGTAAGTGCTATAATTTAACTGTAGAATGCCTCTATAAATCATTCAAATTCCATTTTGTACCCATAGTGGTTATTGATACAAATAATTTGGGTGGCAGCTTAATGCGTTACAATATCGAAGGATGGATTTTGATGAGTTCTGTGCAGCTGCACTTAGTGTTCACCAGCTTGAAGCACTTGACCAGTGGGAGCAACATGCACGTTGTGCCTATGAACTTTTTGAAAAGGATGGAAACAAGGCCATAGTCATCGACGAACTAGCTTCGGTATGTTTTATTTGACTATGATGAATTGATGATAGTTTATGCATACATGCCTCTGTAAATCTTTACGATGATAATATTACCATGCTGATTAGTATATAAATGAAGATATCTACCTATTTAAAACTTTCATGGTATTGCATTGTGATATTATTATATGGTTAAAATATTTTTTTGTTCCTATAGTTTCACTTATTTTACTTTTTAGTCTTTATTGTTTAAAATAGATCTTTTTAATCCCTATATTTTCAATCTCTTTTAGTCCATATACTAGCAATTTTTTAATCCTTTTAGTTCTTATGTTAATTATTATTTTTTGTAATGTTTGTTTTGTGTTGACAATATAGTAGAGGCCTTCAATTGTGAAAATAAAAAAATGTTTCAATAATGGACATGATAAGTAAGGGTATAAAAAGCACAAAACGTCGAGAAACTTAATTTATAATAACTTTAGGAAAATAAATTTGACATGAGGCACACAAAGTTAAATTAATACCTCTATTATATTAACACAAATGAAATAATGTTATAAAAAAAATTAACAAGGAGAAAAATGATTAAAAAAATTTAAGTATAGAGACTAAAAAGATCTATCTTAAATTATAAGAACTAAAAGGATTAAAAAATATAAGTGTAGAAATTATAAATGTTTATTTTAAACTATAAAGACTAAAAGATAAAATAAATGAAATTATAGGGAATAAACAAATATTTTAATCTTGATATATCATAAATTTCAATATTGGTGTAGGAATACTGCATGAAACTAGTTTTAGTTGATCTAATGTTAATGTTTGCCTTTTTTTAATCAGTGTATGTGATCATTTGTTTAATTTGGATTTAGTTTAAACAAGAATCACTTTTCATAGTTACGTAAATACATTTCTCATTAATTGTTTTAACTAAATAACCAGGAGCTTGGGCTTGGTCCATCTGTCCCAGTTCATGCAGTTCTCCACGATTGGATTCGGCACACTGATGGAAAATTAAGTTTTCTTGGATTTGTCAAACTGTTGCATGGCCCATCTAGAAGTCTTGCAAAAGCTCAATAGAGACTTCAGAAGCCCAATAGAATATCCAAGAGAGTCGACTAAACTATATGTTGATCTATCTATCTGGCTTAAAAATTGCTAATGGAATTATCACACCCATATCATCAAGTGATTTCTTTCACATTGTGGCTCAGCATATACACCTTTAGAATGATCTCGTTCTTTTACCACGTGAAGCAGGAGGCAAACCTGCTACAGGCGTTTGTATTTTCCACTGTAAAGCTGTAATGTAGTAGAAAGGTACACTCGATACTGTAACATGTTAGAAGATTCATAATTGAGGTGTATCATTCTTGTGATCTTGTCCACAAGAAAATTCTTTGCCTTATATCCAGAGCTGAAGGAAAAAGGGTGTTGGGGCTCTTTTGTTGGGCTTTCAGCATTATGGTAGCTTTTGGGAATTTGTAATTTAATTTTCATTGGAATCAATTCTCATCATTTAAAGGTTGTTAAAACCGGATGATGCTAAACCCCATCCCCTAATTCTAGACAATCCTATAATCCCCATATTTTCTGTTGACTGTAACAATATTAATTGTAGATAGATGTTTCTCAGTGTGTGGTATTTTACTTGGGCCTTTTCTCATCCCCTCTTTTTACTAATACACCTCTCTATGCTTTCAATAGCTTCCATCAACCTCTTTTATCACGCTTCGAATTCTACTCTCTCCTTGTGCTATCTTTTTTCCCTTTTCTTTCTCGCTCTTCCCTTCTCCCTTTGTGAGCTAGGTGGTTGCACGTGAAATGGCCCATCTCGTCATCTCCTTCCTCATCTCTCTCCCGCTTGATTTTCTCTTGCTTACTCTCCTCTTCATCTCTCTCGCTCACTCTCTCTTTCTCTCCCTCCCCTTGCTCTTATTCACACTACAATGGGTGGGGGTTTTGGTTTGCATCTTTTTTTTTGGATTAAGGTATGGTGACACGTGGAAAATAGATTAATAACAGTAAAAAATTACAAGTGATGAAGAAGTGAAAGTTCATAATTTAATTTTAAATTTTCAACAAAGTAGCTTAGGTCATGATTTAAAAAAAATTAGAGATAAGGAGAGAAAAGAGAAAATTAAAGATAGCTCTTATTTATGATTTTATGTTAATACTTTTGGAAGTTCACATTGAGAAAGAAAAAAAAGAGTAAATAACATGTCACACTTTCCTCCTTACATCTAAATTACCAATATATTTTCATAAAATTATTGATAATTTTTTTAATTAGTGAAAAAATTGATTATTGATTAATTATTTATAATTAATTTATTTTCTCTAATAATTTTTTAATAATTTAATTATGTAATTTTTTTATATTATACATACTAAATATTATATTTTTTGGTACCTCTCCAACAATGGAATCTTGGATGGTTGGCCCATCAACCTATGTTCAAGACCGTCACTGTTGACACAATAATGAAGATTATAGTAATGACAATAATAACAATGATAATAATAATATTGATGATTATGAAATTAGTTGTAGTGACAATGACATTAGTTGCGATGGAAATGACAATAATGATGATAGTGACAACTAAATGGTAACATCAATAGTTAATGTTATTGACAAAAATATCGGTAATTGTAGTAATGACGGCATTGATGACTTGGTGACAATTAGGGAGAGACAAGAGAAAAAAATGCTTATTGAATAAGAAATAAATATGATTTTTTGTCTCATGATTTATTTAATAACAAAAAGTTGAGATTTTACCTTGTATTTCACTCTTAATTTGCGATGTTCATTACCTTTTTAACAAACCAAATATCAAACAATTATATTTTGTGGTACACAATACTATGTATTTAACAAATCAAATGAATCGTATATTAATAAGTGATGTCTATATTTTTTAATCCATAAAATCAATGTTATTTATTTACTTTGAAATAAATAATAAAAGATCAATAGTTATATCAAATTTTTGAAGAATAAAAATAAAGAAAATGTTTTATATAGATTAAGCCCAAAATTTACTTATGGTACAAAAAAAATTATAATTTTAAATCTTGGAAAAAAAATATAAAGAAAATATTTTCCAAAAATCAAAATTGAACTTAACATTTAATTTTGGTGAACAAAAATTAACATTGTTAAGAGGTTGTTTGGCAGAGATTATAATCTTCCATTTCAATTGTTATTTTTTTAGAAAAAAAAGTTTGCAAAAAAAACTATACTTGAGACAACTTAAATTTGTAAACTACTTTTTTCTCTTAAAAAATAAGTTATTTTTATAAAGTTGAAAATTTAAATTTATAATCATTTCTTAAAAACTTTTTTCCTTTTAAGCTAATTTTTTTATTATATTTAAACAAAATTAAAAATCTTAAAATCCCATTTCAACCAATTTATTCAAACAAAATTTTATTTTGATAATAATAGATTTTCACAGTTTTGTCAAACACAACCCAAGTCTTCAAATTTAAAAAGAAAAAATAAATGTTCTTTGAGATGGTTGGAAATTCGGCCCAAACGTGTTTTAAGATGGATCGAACGGAGAACCCCACTTGCCGTTAGCGCGCAAGTGCGGAATTAATCCAAAAACACGCAGGTGCCGAAGGAAGTGAAAACGATCGCGTTCCCCGCATTTCGCTTCTTTCATTTCAATTTCAATTTTCAAACATTTCTCTTGTTCTCGGTCGTGTCTGTGAACACAATTACAGTTACAAAAAATGGTTCAGACGAGAGGAAAGAACGCACTGATAGTTCTCTCTTCTGAAGAATCCGAAGAAGAAGAAGAAGAAGAAGAAGATTATGATTGCGAAGACAGCGATTTTGAAGATAGCGATTGCGAAGACAGCGGTTGCGATGAAGCTTCCGAATCCGATGACAGTGGCGGTGACCTCGATGATTCCTCCCTCTCAGACAAAGTCGTCGCCCTCCTTCGAGGTTTTATTTTTCCTATGAAGTTAATAATAGTGTGTTGATCAGTACCGTTGAATTCATTGTTTTCTGTTTGATTTGCCAGAAGGAAATGACATTGAATCTTTGAAACTAAATGAATGCAAAGCGTATCTACGGAAACACGGCTTGAGGATCGCAGGAAGTAGAGATGTTTGTGTCGCCAGGATAAATGAGCATTGGAGGTAAGGTTTTTTTTTTTTTTTTTTAATATTCTAAAAGCCTATTGACTATTGAGTTAGAACTTAGAAGCATACTTCAACGCATGGAATTTTTGTATGAAGCTGCAAGCCTAATCATCATTTGTAGAAGTCTTCGGTTTTACACTGTTCTTGAAAAGAAAATTTAATTTAGTTGTTCTTGTTGAAGATCCTACATCACCTAGTAATCACCTAGTAATCACCTAGTAATATAGTATAATAGTGTATATTGTATATAGGTGAAGAATAATCATTATCTTATAAATCAGTTTTGTAAAGTTGAGTTAAGTTTTAATTTACTTTCTTAAAATGATATCATAATTTATCTCAACGATTATTGATTGTTTTATTAAGTCATTCTTATTAGATTATTATCAGATCACTCACAAGTGTTTAGTCTAGCAAATATTTGGAAATTCCATGTTGAATAGTGAGGCGACCATAATGATATAAATAAGTAGGAAGTAATTCTAATTTTAAAAGTTAATTTTGTAAGGTTGAGTTAAGTTCAAACCCTCGTTTTAAGTTTCTTTTCTTGTCAACCAGGTTTGCTTCAATTTACATCAACAAGAGAAATTATAATTGTATGTGCTATAGTAATTTATAAGAAAAATTTATGTCATATCCATTAAAGAGAAATGACTGATTCTTTCTAGAATAACTCTTGTTAGCTTTGATTTTAGGCTGTTGTATTTACCTCTTAGAAAGTGTCTTTTTTGATATCTTAGGTTAAAACATGGAAGGGGGTACAACCTGTACCCGAGATCGTCCTTTGTCATTAATTGTACTGGTAAATTGTTCTGATCTATTATCTTTCATCTGCTTTACTCTTATCATTGTTTCGACAAAAACTAGTTTGTTTTTGCTCTCTTTCCTCAGGTGATGTCTGCATGGGAGATGTTGTTCTCTTCAGACAGAAGGTTTATGAAAAGTAATTTGTTTGCTCTCGTCATTTTTAATAAACGATTTCTTTCTAGTCCGGAATTCTTCCTTTACCAGTCAGTTATATATTTCATCAGGTTTGATAAAGTCACTCGGCGTGGAAAACTTCTAGGAAACAGAACTGTTGCTGGGAGGGTTGTGAAGGAAAGCTACGGTGCAGCTAAACAACAGCACACCTTCACTGTGAGTCTAAAGTTGCAATAAGTTCGATACACAAAAAAAAAAAAATCACCTTGGTCTTTTATTTGGACACAGTACTGGCTGTTATATGCTCTTGTAAATCGAGAAGTGCAATTATCTTGGTTAGTGAAGTCGAGTTCTGGTTTCTCTCTCAAATTTGTATTGAGAAATTCAATCTGCTATTGTGTTTAGTATTGGTACAATCGTTTTCTATGTCAATAACTAAATTATTGCACTTGAAAATAGAAAAACAAAGAATCATAAAACAAAAATAACATACTTGGTTTCCTAAATGCATGTTATGCCAAAGAAATTTCTTAGCTAGAGTTTGCAGATTAATGTTCTTAGCCAAAGAAATCAGAAAATAAAGAACTCTTTACAAGTTAATAGAACTCAAGTTTTTCATGTGTCTTGCAGGTAGAGGTGTTGTGGAGTAGCGGAGTTAGGAAATTGCCTCCACTTTCTCCTTTGCTTGTAAAGGGCCGGAATCTCTATAAACAGAAAACTTACAGACAGGTATCAATCAGCATGTGCAAGCATTTATCTCAGTTTTCTCTTACTTCCTCTGGATGTTAAAGTTTGTTACTTTTATTGTTATTCATGCTCTAGAGATGGAAAAATGAAGCTGATAGAATTGAAGTTCTTTGTGAGAAGCACAAGCGTGGTGCAGCAGCAAGATCTAGGAGAGCATTGAGGCAAAAGAATAAAAGTTATGCAAACGAATCTAAAGGTAATTTTGAACTTTAGCACATGGGGTTGTTGCGCTATCCTTTACAGTTTTTCACATTATTGGTAACTTGTCACTCATCTCTTACAATTATTAGGTTCTAAACGGAAGCATGAAATCCATAATAAAAAAGGATCAAAAATAGAAAGACTTCGTGTAGTAGATAAGGTTAGGCACCAAGATGGCTTCAACAGAGCAAACAACTTTCAACCTCGAGAGGCCACTTCATCAACTCAAACAATACAGAAGGAGAATGCATCTTCAAGAGACTCCAGATATACAAGGGGAAGGCATGAGTCTGCTGAATTTGACCGATATCAAGTTCCAGTTTATCCATTATATGATAGTTATCCACAAAGTACATATCAATATCAAGTAAATTCTCAAATAAGGAATGAGCCAAGCGAATTCTTTTATCACAACAGAGGCCTGGTTCCAAATATAACAGGTTTTCCACCTTTCAGGCCTCGTTGGTGAATTCACATCTAGATCACGGCATCTGGTATCCGACCATAGTCGTCATGCCCATACAAACCTATACGACTTTGAAATGAAGAATTATGGATGGAGAAAGTACGGTAAGTGATGTGATTTAAATTTTTTTTTTTTAAGACGACAGGTTTTGGTTTCGCCTTTTAACAGTGGCATGTTTTGGGCTCCCCGTATCGCTTTTCCAGTTTGTTACCACATATGGTTCGCAATGGATGGAATGTGATTGTGAGCATATTTTTCTTCTTTCTAAAACGTGGTCTGGGTTGGGATGTAAATACGTCGTAGTTGCCGAACTGATACAATCATATCAAATTAGATACTACCAAACATACAATTTTTTGTTTTTAAAAAATTTAATTATTTTTGTATTATTAACGATATTTTCTCTAAATATTCTTTAATATATAGCCTTTCAGTTATATTATTTTTTAATATTTATAGCAAGAATAATTTATGAAGAATTTTATGGGAATATCAAAATTTAATGTAAAGTATGTGTAAAATTATTTATTTTTACTTATAATAGAAAACAAAGGGAGTACTTGCCATATTGATGTGAATGTTTGTATCTTTTAATTTTTAAGTTTTTGGATTTTTTATCCATATAATTTAAATGTCAATCTACAAAACTCGATCTAGTTGACAAATAGTTAGGTTTTTAAGAATGTTGGGTTTGAATTTTGAGACAATATTGATTTAAGTATGGATAGTTCAATCATGATTGAATATGTAGTAATTAAATAATATTTTTTAAAAAACTTAATACAATGTATTAAATAATGTATTCAAATTAAACAAAAACAAAATAAAATAAAATTAAAAAATATTATATTTTATTTTTTAATTATCGATAGAAATAGGACATGAAAAACATATTTTATTCTTTGTACTACACATATTTTAATAATGTATAAGGATATAAAAATAATAAGAAAAATGTTATGTACTATCAGTGTAAAGTAGTTTTACATAATCATCCAATCACACAAATCACCATTGTGTTTGTTGACTTTTAAAATAATTATTTTAGAAGTTACAACAATTATGATTTTTTATTAGTTGACAATGTTGTGGTGTAAAAAAATTTATATTGACAATACATGACTATTAAACACAAAAATAGTATATGTTAAAATGTAGAGCAATATATTTTATTTTATTTTTTAAAAATTACACACGACCTATTTTCTCAATGTTGGCAACCACACCCTTAGGGAATAGGGATATATGGTTTAATGTGTTTTTTTTTTCATTGTGAATGTATGTGTAATATTTAAGTTAAGCAATTCGACTAAACCTCAAAATGATTAATATAATTTACTTTGAAATAAATGAAAATATAAGATTTAAGTTGAAAAAAGATAACTTAATAATCAAATCAATTATAATTCTTTAGTTAGGATTTAAGAAGATAACTAATTAATTGAACCAAATTGCAAGATTGTCGAACCAATCCAATCTAAATGAACATTACTAACTTCCAGTATAAGAGGCTTTTACGATTATTGAATGTGAAAAAAGGTTAAGAGTGTTTTGAATTGATGTGCAATTGAGAAAGAAAAATAAATAGAAATATGGAAGTATTATTAACCAAGCACTTTTATGTCTATCTCAGTATCTACCAAAGGTGATCAATCAACTGTAATACTTTCGTAACTTGATTTCATTGAATGTTTATCATCCCTGAGATCAAAACTTTAGCCTGATTTTATATCATTGGATTTAATTGGGATTTAATGCAATGGTTAATTTTTCGATTTTAGTATGTATTGACATTTTCTCCTTAATTAGTGCTGCATAGCATTTATACCATAATTTTCAGATTTATCTACGTAGGTTTGCATGCATTTTCATCTTTATTAGGATTAACTTTTATCATTGATTTGCTTAGTTTTCTTAAATTAGTCACTTGAAACTCTTGACGTGTAGTTTTTTGCTTTTATGGGTTTTAGGGAGGTTTGTTAATGAATAAGTTGTTGAAGCTTGGATCAAGAAACGGAGGGACAGCAAACAATTAACATAAAAATGATGAATATCACAACCATAAAAGAGTCTTTAGCATAGCAAATGCCAGGAAGGCCACAAAAGTTAGAAAGCAGTTGAGTTGAATTTAATTGAGTTAAAAAAAAGGTTATACTTACAAACTTTTTTTTAATATCTAAATGCATTTTTTTATTGAACATAATTATAAACTGGTATTTAAATATACACATAACAACCGAAAACAAACGAAAATGATTATTTATATAATATCTATTTCATTTAACGTATTTTTAAAATATTTATTTATAGACTTTTTAAGAGGTTTTTTTTAAAATAAAGAATAATTATTTTTCTAAAATTAATCTCTACCAATTATACATATAATCTTCCATTATTTCATTATGAGGTTTGGTCATTTACATTGCATTAAGTTCTTAATTACAATAAAAAAATTAGTCAATTATATTTAAGAATTAAATTACATGAGTTTTACAGTTGAAAAAAAATGGAAAATACCAATCAGGCAATCCTCGAACTATAAAATGCATACAAGATATCAGTTGAAATTTTTTAACAACCTGTTTGGTTCCATGCATGTCTACCTCTCAAAGTTGTTGGGTGCTTGTTATTGTTATTATTATTATTTTTTTAACGTGAATTTTAGAAGATATAGGAAGTAGCTTTTGTATTAGATGTGGGTAGTCCAGGTATACATGCATTCCAAAATTTTAACCAAACACATTAAATTTTCTTACTAATCCTCCTACTTATATTTATGTGATAAGTCTTACTAAATGTGTTTTACATTATTTTTAAAGATATTAAATATATTTAGTTCCTTATTTAATATTTTTATAAATATTAGAAAAATTATAAGAGAATATAGATTTCCTATTGAGTCCGTGTATTGTATGTTAAATGTTATTGGTGACCCTATAGTGTGAAAGATTTAAATATGTTTTACTAAATATTATAAATTAATTTAAAAGTGTTGGAAAGGAGGTGGATCTCAATTCAATGCATGATCATGATATATATGCTAATATGCAACTCCGAATCTCCGATTATGGTAGCAATGGCTCGTGAGCTTCCCATGGTTCTTATTATCTCTAAGTCTAACTATTACTAGTTGAAAGCAGATAGCGATATGATTAAATATTGATTAAATAGTGTCCCTCTGATAGCTGGACACTACCAAATATTGATGAGATAAGCAGAAGAATGACAAGGAAAAAATAAATAAAAATCTTAGTTTGTTTCATAATCATTTAAGGGTGTTAAAGACCATGAGAGATAGAATAAAATTAAAGGAATATATTGACATAAAAATTTAGCAGATTAAATTTAATAAAAAATTATGAAGAATAACATAATATTAAACCGAATAAAAGTCAGGAATTAGTAAAACTTAAATTAAGTTAACGGATAAAAACTGTAAATTTTCCTAATTAATAAATAAAGTATTCAATGATATTTAAAAATTTCAAAATCAATAACATTATTTAGTATTAACAAAATAAAAACACTCTATACTATGGTACTAAAAAAATTAAATAAAGACACTCTATGCCTTGTGAATATTATGTATGTAGAAGTTATAAAATTGTAGGAAAGTTGTACTTTATTAAAGAAAAATTCATTTTTAATAAATAAAATAATTGAACTGTTCTACATTAAACAAAAAAGAATGTGTGATTACTAAAATAAATAAAAAATAAAAATGTCTTAAAAATATATATACGAAAATACTATATCACTTTTATATATTGTCATAGATAATAATCATTATATACATTTAATAACTAGTAATGACAAGAGAAAGAGAAGAATGAGATTGAAAAACAAAGACTAAGTAAAAAAAAAAAAATAGTAGCTTTTAATATTTTATTTAATAAAAATATATTTAAATAATTTAATAATTTATTTTTTAAAAAATGTGAATATTTTAATATTTTGAATCTCATAGATCTTATTTAGGGTATCTCCAATGGAAGCAACTCATTTGAGTTGCTTCATGTATTGAAAAATGAAAAAAGTGGTCCCGAGTGTGCCATGTCAGTATTAAGCAACTCAAACACAAATTTACTTCAATGGTAAGAAATTTTAAGAAATTCAACTTTTAGAATTTTTTTTCTAATCATTTATAAACCAATTTTAAATTTTTATTAAAAAGGGTAATTGCACTACAATGAAAGAAAATAAATTACGAGAAAAAATACACAATAAGTAGATATTAAAAATAAAATAAAATAATAATAAATACATAGATATTATAAGAAATTAATTTTCATCATTATTATTTTCGAAACGTTCCCAAATATGTTCAATAAGATTTGTTTGAAATCTGGTAAGGAACGGTTGCTTGAGGAAACAACTCTCTCTTCTTCAAACAACTCATGTTGTCACGTCAGAGTCCTCCAATAGTAAGAAATCGGGGCTTGAGTTGCTTCATGGGACAAGCAACTCCCATTGGAGTTGCTCTTAGTAATTTATATTCTTTAACCTGCATCCAGAAAAATTCATGTTAACAATTATCAAAGATAATATCATATAATTCCAAGCGTTGTGGTTCAGCGGTAAGAGTTAATCCACGCTTAAACAAGGTTAGGGGTTTGAATCCTACCTTGTGTATGCAGCCGCGTTAAATCTTGGGACTAATTATCCTACCCTTTAAGGTTGGATACTCCTGGAACGAATCCAAAAAAAGATAATATCATATAAACGAAAAAAATAAAGCAGGATCATGGCACAATGCAATTTAAAAGTGAAAGGTCTAGGGTGTTCAAAGGTCCGAGACCTTCGGTAATATTGGGCCGCAAGCTTTTTATATAAGGCCCACGTAGATCCAACTAGCCCACGTTTGGTCCTTTGTCCTATTTTTTTTTAAATAATAATTTTAAACCGGAACTGGTCGTTGTGTTGCGCGATTTCGCAGTTCCTTATTCTTCCGTTTGCATTTTACAGTTACAAGTTGTTATTGCACTTTTTTTCTGAACCGCGAACACGCTCTGCATCCTCTAGATTCATTTGGTTTCGGTATTCTGAAGGGAACGATGAAGTTGTAGGTGGAAACTCGAGGAACCAGACTCATGGAGTGGACGACATTGCAGCATCTTGATCTGCGCCACGTTGGGCGTGGCAGCAGACCTCTGCAGCCACATGCTGCTACCTTCCACCCTCACCAGGCACTCGTTGCCGTCGCCATTGGAACCTACATCGTCGGTGAGAAACTGCAACATCACTCTCTCCTTCTTGCCATGTTTCTAGAGTCAGGAACCTAAGTTCATCCGCTTATAGAATCTGGAAACGCCTAACTGACGCGTTTCGCATTATTGCGGT